TAGTCTTTGTTTTAAGTTCTTGCAACTAACATCGTTTTCTGTAATGACTCTTATGCTTCTAGTTGTCTTAAAGTTACCAGGAGTGGGGTTCGAACCCACGAGGGCATATGCCCATTGGATCTTAAGTCCAACGCCTTAACCACTCGGCCATCCTGGTGACTCTTGCGTCAATACTTTGGCTACAGCACTTTGATCTAATCACTTAAATCACTTAAATCAGTTACATGAAGTGCAGAGTGAGGTATATCAAAAGTACATTTATAAAAGATGATCAGGACGTTTGGCTGAACAGATTTCCATTTACTGCCTGTTCTACAAAGACAAATTGTATTTCTTAAAACTTGAACAAAGGAAGCCTTTTCATCTGTTGTCAAAGACCATGGTGTCTAATGCTAATCCTGATGTTTTTATAAAAGGCAGTGTCGTAGTGTTTTACGGTGGAGTTCCCCTTTAAAGTTGATCATTGACAGAGAAGTTGATGTGAAGCTGTCGTCCAGCAGCCTCTCCTGTGCACTGACTTCCTGTTCACTGACTTCCTGCTCACTGGTGCATGATCTGTGGTCTGATCTGATGTTTTAGCATCGCATAGTAAACCTTGTATTAACCCACCAGCCGCTCATTAAACGACTACTTGTCTGTGTTTCCGGTGTGTGTACACAATCCATCAGTTCATGAACAAATTATTTATTTATGGAGACGCCGCACATCCGTCTCGCAGTTTGTGTAGCACGTCTGACTTTCTTCAGTTCATCCTGCCATCGCCATCATCGTGTCATTTCGCAGCACGAGAGTTGCTTGGCGGGGTCTCCTGTTCTTCACCCCAAAATCTAACGCCTGGACAAGATCTATTTATAAATCAGACCAGTGGCGTTATCATTCACCCAATCCCACTCTGACATCATTCTGACGGGGGAGAAAAACTCACCCACAGCCGCTTGTCTCTCATCTCTTCATCCAGGAGACAGATGTATTGCAGTCTCTTATTTCATCATCATGTTTACCACAGCAGAAATATGCACACATCATTCTGAACCCATTTGTTTGCATTATTCTGTGTCAAACACATCCATCATTGTGACATACATCGATTTTAAACACACACACCAGGACAGTTGATCCACTATGCGGCTCCAGCTGTGTCCTCTCACAGCCTGGTCTCCTATAAAAGAAATGTCCATACATTGATACTGCATTGTACGGAAGAGGATTAGGGCCACATTGGAAAAAAAATTGGGAGGATTTGAAGAAAAAAAAATAGAATTCTGACTCTTTCCTAAGAACAAAAAAATACACATTTTATTTTTTTTTCAAATCCTTCCAAAAAAATGAATATGGCTCTAATCCTCTTCCATAGCATTGTTAAATCCGTATCGCGCTAAACGTATTTTCTTCCCAGATGAGTTTGTTTTTTTATCTCTAATACATCTCTTTGATTATAGTGTAAGACTATTTTATAAACTGCTCCACTAATTTAAAGTTATGCTTTTAAAAAGAGCGGTACTGATTGCTTAGGAAAAACAAGACATCCTTATAAAATGACACTCCCTCTTACACATCTTGTTTTTAACACATTATTCAGTCATATTTAGTTTCAAGTTGAACATTTTTAAACATATTTCTTCCGTCTGCCCTCTGCTCCACTTTATTTATTAGCTAGGAAGCGAGTAAAGCCTACAGGTGTACTCTATAAACCGCTCCACTTACTTCAAATGATGCTTATAAAAAGAAAATGATTCCTGAGAAAAACTAAAAATCCTTAATATAATATATAAATATAAAACTTCCTCCTTAACACACTTCCTCGGTCTCCCTGCTCATTCACTTTCATTTAAAATCTCTCCACTTCCTGTTTCACCTCGTTGCTGCCCCCTCCTCACTGACAGCTGCTTCTCATTGGCAGGACCTTCCTCGCTCTCCAGTGGCTCCTCCTCTGGACTCCTGCTTCCTGAGACCGGCCCGTCCAGCTAACCGCCGCCCCCCCTCCCGGTGGGCCGCCCGCTCCCCCTCCCCCTCCCCGAAGTGGAGCGAGGGCACCAGGAGGAGGTTCACCTTCCCGCCGCCGGGACACCGCAAACCCATCCTGGAGGGCGAGGAGCCAGCGTGAGGCCGTGCTCTACCTCCTCTCCTCCACCGCAGCCTCAAAGACCCAGTACCTCAGAAACCCCCCCTCAGCCCTACAAACTCCCCGGAGACGGAGCCTGAAGGGGGGGTCGGGATCCACCCTGTAGCACCAGCTGACCATCGAGGAACCAGAACTTCTTCTTTTTTAGAAGAACCTGGAATGTACTGTAATATCATAAAAAAAAAGATTTACATTTTCCATAAAAGGTGCCTGCACACTTGAGTTAAACATCGCCCCACATGTGCGTTCATGTGTTTAAAACATGTATATTTTAGTCACAATTCTGACTTTTCCAGGTGAAAACTAGGTCAACTGATGCATTTGTATGAATTTTACGCAAATGTGTTGCATCTGTTTACAAATGTTCCGTTTCTTTTTTACATTGTCCTGCATCCAGTCAATATCGATGTTCATCTTTTGTTTCTTGATTTCCAGCCTTTAAAGCTTGACTTTCTGTTTTATTTCAAGAGGAGGAAAGACAACACAAGCAAACAAACAAAAAAACCTTCTGCTTCATCGGGTCTGAAGCAGAGACACATGATGTCATTTCTGATGTATTTCTTTCTTTTTTGGGGATGAATGTTTCACTCTGTTACCGCGTAGACGAAAGGTGACAACAAACTGAATAACCTTATGCATATTGGAAGGCAGTTTTTCGAATATCAGTCAAATATCTGCATGCCTTTTGAACACTAGCACTTTAGTGCATGTACATACGAGCTCTAGTCATTTGTGATCACTCGGCTCCGCTGTGGCAGGAAAAAGAAAAAACATGTTGTGACGGAAACTCCTGCCGAGCTGTTGTTTTTGTCGTCACATGATTTGCAAAACAAAAATAATTTTTAAGTGAATTATTGTACCTACAGGCTGTCTTTGTACAGTTGTTACTATTGAATATCAATTACTTTTTCTTTTGTCAAGAAAAATGAGATTGTGGGGATCAAATATGAATGTTTTAAATGAAAATCTATGTCAAAAAAGTCTAACGAGCTATAGTCTTATGTAAATAATAAATGGAAATAAACATGAATGTGTATTTACAAAAACTCCTCCTCATCTGTGTGTGTTTTTGCATCTATATCTCTTTATGATGCAGGTTAGATATACAGCTCATGATATACGCTCTTTCATTAGACCTGAGTCTGCGTTCTTGGCAGAGACTGATGGGTGTGTGTGTGTGTGTGTGTGTGTGTGTGTGTGTGTGTGTGTGTGTGTGTGTGTGTGTGTGTGTGTGTGTGTGTGTGTGTGTGTGTGTGTGCGCGGGTGTTGGTGTCTTCTGTCTGTTGCTGTGTTGTTGTGTGTGTGTGTGTGTGTGTGTGTGTGTGTGTGTGTGTGTGTGTGTGTGTGTGTGTGTGTGTGGATTACAGTGCAGACCACAGGATTACAGTGGGTCAGGAGGGACACACACACACACACACACACACACACACACACACAGCGAATGTGAATAAGGAGATTGTGTCCTCCCAGAAGTGAAATCCTGTTGCATCATGGTCATGCATGTGTCACCTTACTGATGATACTCAGCTTTTCACGCAAGATAAAAACCAGTCACATGCATCTACACTGAATTATTTAAACATGACCTTAGTGGGGTGTGTTGCTTTTTATTTCAAAATACAGACACCTTCTAGCAACAGATCTTTTTTCCCTCCAGACATTTTGCAGTACAAAAAAAGTGTTACTGTAACATTAACAATGTCTATGTTCAATTCAATTGCCCTAATTATCCAGCATACTATATCTAACATAAGCTAAATGGAAAACTGGCATCATTGATTTCATTATTTACAGATAGAGGGATAAAAAGGGACCATGCATGTGTCTTCAAAGGAGGAGGAGTTTTTTGATCTGTAACCTCAGGGGGTAATGCTTTGTTATGTTTAAGTCATTCAAACTCTTTTGAAGCTGAACTGGCAATAATATAGCAATATGATGCCACATGCTTTAAATCAGAGAAAGAAAAGCCTATGTATGTGTGTCAACTGAGTCCAAAAGATGGACATATCAACCAATATAAATGGCGATATACCACTATAGGTAAATGAAGCTCAGCGCAAGTTCTTTCAGGAAGACTGGGAATTCATACATTCACTCCGCAGCTGCATATAATCATCTCATCACGGCAGGGCTCTCGACTAACTTTTTTCACCATCCTCCCGGAACCGTCCCGAAATACAATCTAAGCCGTCCCGAAATTAATGTGGACCGTCCCGAATTTAATGGTGTGGGGTGTGTGTGNTGCCGGTACGTGCGCTGGGAGCGCACCGTTTAAGTTTGAAAGTTGAAAAGTTTGTGTGTCTGAAACGCTATGTGATACAGTACAGTTTACACAGTACATGTTCTCATGTACTGTGTAAACTGTACTGTATCACATAGCGTTTCAGACACACAAACTTTTCAACTTTCAAACTTAAACGGTGCGCTCCCAGCGCACGTACCGGCAGTGATCTACAGCAGTGGTTTTCAACCAGTGGTACGGGGACAAACTGTCTCGCTCTCGTAATGTCTGTCTGTCTTGCTCTCGTTCTGTCTCTCGTACCACTCTCGGTTCCACTTTTACTTTTGCGCGCTACCTGTCTTACTCTTTTCCGGCCTCCAGCTTTTCCTGCTGGAGCCCGCCGCTTAAAGGTGGGGGGCGCGGACCGGCCATAGAGCCCATAGAGTTAAAGGTGGTGGACTGTAACCTGTAAAATCCATAGATTTAGTCCCCTAGTGGCCGTTAGCTGTAAAAATCCATAGATTAGCCGCACCGTTATATAAGCCGCAGCGTCGAAAAATGGGAAAAAAGGCGCGGCTTATAGTCCGAAAATTACGGTAATTCGTTTTTTGGCAGCGTGTGCATCGTACCTCGTGACTGTACTGTCACATGCACACTTCACATGACGTGCCAGATCACAGGTGCATCGTTCAGTAGCCAAACAATGAGGAACCAGTTGTCTTTAATCATCAACAAGCCGCAGAACTTCCATATAGAAACAATAAATTACTTAAGAGGAAACTATGTTTGCTCAGTGAGACAAAGGGAGAGTTTTGCTCTCATCATGTGGTGCATAGAGTTCAAAATGAAAAAGGGAATGATGTTTTTTGTATTGTTCCTTGATTGCTAAACGTGACAGCCAGCAGAGGAACTGTTGACCAGTTTGGTTTCAGTTTGTCTGGAGGATTTCCAAAAACTTCAAGCTTTGAGAAAATGAAGCTGGATTATCCCAAACTGTTTATTTGAAAGCACACAAATTATAAAGTACATCCGATTCATATAAATGTTGTTAAGCTGACTTGTTTAGCTAATTAATGTGCCTTTTACCAATTGAAGTAATTCACTTAAGTTGGTCCAGCTATTTCATTTTTCTCGGTAAGATACAAAAATAAATACGTATGTATATATCTACATATACACAATCAGCAGACACCTCTCTTATTATTATTATTATTATTATTATAATTGTCTTACCTCTCCGACGTACGGGTAGGCCTCCTCAGAGTCGATGCCTCCGTTATCCTCCACGTACGTGAAGGCGTTGGTCATGTATCCTCCTCCACAGCCGGAGTTCTCTTTGACGCAGTCCACCAGGTTTTGGGGACTCAGGTCTATCAGCTTCCCTGTGGTTTTGGCCAGCTGACCCTCGATGGCCCCGGCCGAGCTGAAGGCCCAGCAGGATCCACAGGAACCCTGTCCGGAGAGAATAGGAGAGGAGGGTTTGTTTTTGTTTTAATTGATAATTACAATATGCACAAAGTCCCCTGTTAGAGGTCACCTACAGTATTAAGCAAAATCCACTTATTCATGTCTTTTCTAATGAACACAGCTTTTTAAAACGGTGTTAATATCTCATCAGCCTGAGGGGAAATCAGACTTAAATGACATGAAAATCAAACGCTTGTTTTCTGCAGTCCGTCCACTGGGGGGCAGACTGTGACAACTTTAATTCAAACAATGTTTCTGTTCTGGCAGCTCGAGTGATACATAACATTGTGTTTAATTTACTCAGCCCTTAATAGCGCTATGGAGCTGCTGTCTCACTCTTTATCTCATGAAGTAGACACTCTTAAAATCACTATCTGACTATAAACTCTTGCCTGCATCATGGCTTCCAGTTTGAACACCTCTGCGTTTGACACCTCAAGGAAAACAAAAAGCTGTAATTAAAAACCTTGTGAATGTGTTTCCACATCATTTTACTGGAGGATGTTCTGAAAAACTGCTTTGTGAAATGTGCTTGGAACAAACAGAACATCCAAACACAATGCAGTCATCTCGAGAGGAAGGGAGGAGGAAGCAGCAGAGGTGTTAGTATGCAGAGAGTGAAGCCAGTGTGCTGAATTATTCATGAAGGAGAGAAGAAGAGGAGCATCTCAATAAATCCTGTGTATAGCTGCAATGTCACCTCCCTCCACCAGAGGGCGACGACATCATAGACGTTGTATTTACGCAGGTTATAATAATAATAATAATAATTTAAAAAAAGCCACGGTTAATTTATTTTGGCTATGAAACCAATAGTGTTTTTCCAATGTCTGAATTTGTGATTTATTATTATTATTTTTTATATTATTTGTGTATTTTTATAATTTAGATAAGATATTATTTATTGTTCCCAATTTGGGACATCTATCTTGTCCCATCAGCATGTAGAAAATTAACAACAGTAAATGTATACATCTCAACAGTGTATCTAATAACTACTATATTCATATTATTATTGTTATTATTGTATTGATATTATAATAATTAATTTGTATTTTTATTTATAATTAATTATACGGAACTGCTACCTCCGCGACCCGACCACGGATAAGCGGGAGAAGATGGATTAATTATATATTTTTAATTTCTCATATATATTTTTTTTTTAAGGATGATAATATTAATAATACATTTCCAGATATATTGGTCCTTATTTGAATGGAATAAATGTATTTCAATAACCAAGAACTTAAAACACTAAAACTAGACCTCAAAGTCAATAAATCCAAATCAAAACAACATTATGAGGGTAAGAACAAAGTGAAAAATAAAATGAAATATTAACCCGGTGCTTCAGTTCACGGCTTCGTTAGATCACATCACTCCGCTGCTAATCTGCCGCTAGCACAAAGAGCAGATGTACGCCATATTGTCAATCCATCCACTTCCTGTTCTGCTCACCCCTTGTTTACATAAATAATATCCGGCTGTCCCATCTACTCATAATGACTAATTACATATAATAAGCCATTCTTGTGTTTGTGTGTCCATTAGCAGTAAGAACAGGCTGCAGGTCATGTGATCGCACACTAACCACGATTGTTTGCTTTGTTTACTTTTCACCAGGTTCTTTTCTGAGAGTCTCTATGGAGGAAGATTTGTTTTCACCACATACTAAACATCTCATTGTTTTTGAGGTCACAGGAGAGCCTCTGGAGAGTGCCTCTGCTCCAGATGTTGGAGGATGTTTTTGTATCTTATTAGAGCTAAATAAAATGGGGTTTCACTGAACTCATCTTATTACATTTGTAAAGTATTTGTAAGCCAGAAGAATAAAAACACTGAAGATGAAGGCAGAACGTGTGGAGCTCCAATGTCCAACATATTTATCAATCTTTAACAATTTTGCATAATTGTTTTAACATTTTCTCCAATTGACATGCAGATGTGTCATATGTTGAGGTACATACTTGCTTAAAATGCGCACTGTATTACTTCTATAATATATCACTAGCTGCCTTTGTTATTGTTGCTTCTGTCTGCAACAACAGCCACATCTCCCCTCAGAAATCAACGAAGTCTTGTGTTTCTCCTTTTGCCTTAAAACAGCCTGAGGAAATCCGTCTTCTTGGTTTCCCACAAGTCCACAAAAAAACAACATCACTCAACTTCTATCTGTAGATTTCTATCTTGCTATTAATGAACTACTGAAGCAGTAATAAAACATATGTTCAATGACTTCCTCCACGGTTGGAAACGGGCTGATTCTCACAAACTATGACACTTTGATTAAAAGTTGAATCTGCTGTCATGTCCCGGTTTGTTTTCTGTGCTTACTGAGGTCTAACATTTTGATAATAGGATATCAGCTCTGGATAATGTTGGATGTTTTTATTTCTCCAGCTCTGCCCTTAGTTATGTACATCGCCATTGTTCCTGAAAGTTACATTTCTCAATAAACCAGGCGTGGCGGGTTTCTCCCACTTCTTTGGAAACGTATTAACTTTACCTTTACTTTTACAATGTGTTTAGGATTCAACAGAGCAAGAGTCAACATTTGCAACGTCATCGTAATCAAACTGCATCCATTGGTGAAGGCACTTCTGTTTCTGAATATTACGGCTCATGCTCACCCATTTCTCCTATTTATTGACTGTCTAAAAGCTACTCGAGGGAATGACACGGATGCGCATTTACCGAATCAACACGTTTTTCTTCCTCCTTGAGCTCTAAAAAACCCAAAAGTATGGTTTATTAGAAAGGATTTCAAATGGTATGTTTAGTTTTTACTGTTCAAACGAAGGATTTCAAAATCCTAAAAGACAAAAAACTATAATGTTCCTTGCAGAGATGGGGTCGTTACTCAAAAAAAAAAAGTAATAATTACTTTACTTCGTTACTCTCTATGCGTTACTTTACTCGTTACTTTACTCTCAGGGCCGCCCCAGTGGATAACAGCTTCTGGCCTGGACACAGTTTGAACCTCACCGTCACATTCCTGTCCTTCCTTCGGACGAACTCAAAATAATGGGCATGACTCAGCCATGTTTATGCACTGCATGTGGACGTGCAAATCGCGCAAATGTAATGTAGAAATCCCACTTGTCTGTCAAAGGGAGAATCTAGTAATTCTGTATGTTAGTATGCTAACTGTAGTGTGATTACTGATTTATAAAAGTACGCGTTACCGACAAAAGTAATATTATTACAGTAACTCTGTCCTTGTGGGATTTTCCCCAGAGAGCTGCCCAAATAACTTTTAAGCTTTAATGAACTGGATATTTTATAAGATGAGTTATTATTGAAACAGTTTGTGCAGCTGTAACTCCTGACCTGGTTCTTTACTGGAGTCACCATGCCCTTCTTGCGGTAGTCCAGAGATTTGGGGAGTTTTGGCAGCTTGTCGTCGAAAGCCATGGTGAAGCTGCGCTGGCCGTTGGTTGGAGGCAGCATCAGGCCGGTCATCTTCTCGTTCACTTCCTCTGACGTCTGCACGCACAGAGACACACAGTTTAGATTGTACATGAGGTTTCAGGGATGTATTTCACACTGTCATTCAGGAAAAAGTGCAACAGCAGGTAGATGTTCATATTGAAACACATAACAGGAAACAAAGAGTGCAAACTAGGAGTTACAGGTTGCACAACTCTTACAGTAAATGCTATGAAACTTCACTTAGTTCCAGAAATAATCACGTGAGAAAGAAATGTTGTTGGACAGGAACAAGTTAGGAGAAGCAGAGACAATTTACTTTTAGGCTTTAGACAAGTGAAAGAAAAATAAACACATCAGGGAGCGGATTTGATTCGGCAGGGTGACGGAGGATGAAGTGTTTTTACTCTTCACGGATGTCCTCATTTGACACCAGAGGGGCAAAAAGTGCAATGAACAAAGCTACAAAAAAAGTTAAAGAAGAAGCAGATGGATGCTAAGAAGAGGAAAAGAGGATTTAAAACAAGTGACAAAGAAACTACTGGATGTCTTTATGCTACTGTATACTACACCACTACATTTTAGAGGCACTTATCGTACTTTTTTACAAAGGAGACTGGAGGAAACTTTGTGATTTTAGCTTTTGCAGAACATTTACATGCACCGAAACCTATATGACACACTACAGGAAAGGTAACACCCCAAAAGCATAATAGGGCCTCTTTAAGAAACATTTTAAAGTGGACCTATCATGCTATATTTGAATAATATATTGTAGGACCATAACTCTATAAAACATGTCTGTGAAGTTTTTTTTTCAAAATACCAAACAGATCATGCATTTTAGCCACGCCTCATTTCGCTCTATTTGCTCTATTCCAGCCCTGTTTTTGCAAGGGCTGATTCTGTGGCAAATGAGCTGCAGCTGACCACGCCCCCCTGCAAAGGAGGGGGGCGTGGCAGAAGCTGTTACTGCTGTTACCATGCTGTTACCATGCTGTTTACCATGCCACAGCAACCTCTCATTCCCCTGATAGGTGGAGAGTTGCCCATATAGGCGGAGCTCCCTGTTTTTGACGTCAGAGATATTTCAAATCTGGATCAGTCTGTATCAGATCCGTTACAGCCCCGTTTTTAGAGATTTGGGTATGGAGGAAAAGAGAGAGGGTTGTGTTGTCTGACACTTGGTGAGTTCCCTGACACACCGGGGACACATATTCATGTATACTGTAAAAGACGTACAAAAGTGCATTTTGCATGATAGGTCCCCTTTAAGTTCAGGAATTGTAGTTGTAATGGAGTAAAAGTTTCAACATTTGACACCAGAGGGGCGTAACTGTGCACAAAGTGATGCTTATATTTTACAAATCTCATCATTTATGATGATCAGAATGCTCTCATCGCAGCTCAGTCTGCAGGCGGAGAGATCATTAACAGAAGGAGTGAAAGCCATCTGGTAATTTCTTTCTTTTCACTTCCAGTCAGAAAGAAAATGCCTTTATACACACGGCCACCTGTTTCTGCACCAACGTGAATGGGCCATTCATCCAGAATCTGGGTGTGTAGTACATGTTCCTGTCTCTAATAAAAGAGCTCAAGCGCTGTCGGGTTTCATTCTGCTTTTCCCGCTGATGTATTGCTTGTTAAAGCCGGCATCTTGATGCAAACACAGCCATCAGTTATGACCCGCGCTGACACACACGTCACTGAAGACAGCTGATTTAAGGACAGCAAATCTCGTTTAGTTTTAGCTCGACGCTCTGCTGCATGCATCAGTGACGACAGCCGATAAAACCAAGGTGAGGGAAATATGGAGCTCTGACACTGGGCTGCTTTCCCATGACTTTCACTACAAACAGGATTCTCACTTTTGAATGCACTCAGCAGTGAGATCGATTTTCACTTTACTACAGTTGCTAATGGCGGCTATAACTCAGACTGTGGGTCAACGCTGATTGATTTCTACAGCAGCAATGATTGGAGCATTGACAGGAAATGAATTGCCAACTATTTTTTAGAATGAAGTCATTTCTTCATTGAGTTCTTCTTCCAGCAAAACATGTGCTCGTTACAGACTTTTAAAAAGGGGGGATTTTATGTTTTTTTTTTTTCGTACCTGAGAGAAAACTCTTATCTCTTTAGGTAGCGGTGAAACAAATGAATAAATAGACATGTGTGAGTGTCACTATGGGGTTAGCAAACTTAAAAACTCACTGTAAATTAACTAATCAATTGGTAATAAGAACAATTGTTTGATGAAGCCTTGTTGTTTTTTTCTGTCCAATAAGATCAGATCCTGAGGCATTTAAATGGCACAGTTGATATTTCTTTACTTCATTAACCTGAAATAACTGGCTGTTGTTGAAATCACAGCAGCTGAGCAGAGCCAGTGATATCACGGTGATGTTAAACGTAATAAATGAGTGGCTTGAATGGGAGAAATATGCTAGGGTTAGGGTTAGGGTAACTGAAACGTGATGAAAACTAGTTTGATAGAATGTGCAGTCATTTTATTCCTGTGTGCCATGCTATATAATTTGAATGTCAGGACATTCACTTTGTCAAATAATATATATACATATATATAGGGCTGCTCGATTATGGCAAAAATCATAATCTCGATTATTTGGGTCAATAATTGATATCACGATTATTAAAAACGATTATTCATTTACTTTGAAAACATCAATTTATTGAAAAAAAAGTTTAACAGTCTGTTTTTAACAGTTGATTACCCTGAACTTTAAGTATAATTATTAAATTAAAAAAAAATCGTTTTATTTAGATTATGTTGTTTTCATAATCGTTGCAAGCCAAAATCGTAATTGTGATTAAAATACGATTAATTGAGCAGCCCTACCGTCTATGGTCGAAACCCGACAGAGAAGTGGCTATTACATGCAGACACGGATTAAAACACCACAATGGCTTTGATGAAAAAGATTATTCATAAGCCCGTTTAGAAGTGAAGATATACTCATTCATTCTGAGCTTGTCATTTTCGAGGCCTGAGGCTCAGGGCTGTTAAGACTCACCATGTCTCCCAGGTGGTTCATCCCCAGCTCGAAGGAGTGGATTCCCAGCGCTGCCTCCTGGTTATGGGCTTCGATCATCAGCATGTTCTTCTCCCAGATGGCCCGGCGGATCCCCTCCTCGCCCTGAGACAAACAACAGCATGTGTCATTTAGCGTAAAAACGATCAGCTGTGTTCTCCAATTTCAGACAATTCAAGTTTTAATTTCTCACCTACATTTGAAGAGAGCGTTAAAACTTTTAAATGCACTTTAATACAGGGGCATCTTCTCTTGCACCGTATGTATCGATGCTGCTATATTGTATTACCATGTCATAAATATTTGGGTATTCTCTTACTCTTGCACTTTTCTTTCATTTTATGTTTGCTGTGTTTGTAACTTTCATTCTCTTAATGTTTTATGTGAGGGACTGCGGATGGAAAGTAGCTCCAAGATAAATCCGGCATATTTACACTTGGCATATTTCATGTTTTAAGTGTTCATTAATGTGCCAAATAAACAAATACAATAACATATAAGTGGTGGAAAGTCCATTAACTCAAATACACTTAATAATAATATTTGAAGTATCAATTTACTTGAGTGTTTTTCTCTCTGTGCTCCTTTATACTTCCACTCCATTATATTTCAAAGGGAAATATTGTGCTTTTTATTTCACTATATTTATTTTACTGCCTTAGTTTCTTTAAAAATGAAGATTTGACACTTATCTCATTTACTGTTTTTTTTATTTATTTATTTTTTATGTTATGCTGGGGTAGGGGTGGGGGGTATATTTGATCTGCTTTTTGGCAGTCTGGTTTAAATGTGCACTGTTGCATCTAAAGTATGTATTTGACTGCTCAATGACCTTCTTTATGATTTTTCTTTGTAATGAAAATTTTCAAAAATAAAGTGTTAAAAAAAATAATAAACGTAGATTTTAAATGTATAAAAAAACGTTTAAAATATGATGTATTGATATAGATTAAATTAATGAACATTATATTTAATTACCTCAAACAATAAGTGGGTTGACAGATATTTATTTTGCATAAATCTACAGATTTTTTGTATTTTTTGTGTACATGTGATCCAGTTTCTCAATTGATTTAATAGTNTGTGTGTGTGGTCTAGCATTACTATACTTGTGGGGACCTAAATCTGTTTACACAGTCACGTGTGGGGACTCGCCTCCCTTATGGGGACATAATGGAGGTCCCCATAAGGGGAATCACTAATTTTAGGGTGAAGACTTGGTTAGGGTTAGGGTTAGGCATGTGTTGGTTATGGTTATGGTTAAGTTTCCAGGAAATGCATGTAAGTCAATGTAATGTCCCCTGAAGTGGTGTGTGTGTGTGTGTGTGTGTGTGTGTGTGT